CCATTTTGGCAATCAAGCTATCTCTTTCTGGGTAGTTTTGTCAACATAACAAGCTCTTGAAATAGAGAAGCTGAGCAGTGGAGTGTTGGCCCCTTAAGTATTACTCAGCAGGAGGGTTCCCAAAACATAATTGCTTGGGCCCCAGAGTACCTGGAAGTGTACAAAACAGCCGTTTCCGCTGTAACCTAGAGTCCCTTCTTCCCAGGAGGACCCTCCTGTGTGTCCAGGGGACCGGACTGGGGACAGAGTTGAGTGACAATCTCATTAGCCTTCTGTCAACTCAAGCTTTGAGTTTTCTTTCTTTAGAATGCAAATTCTCTCCCAAGAGGGTCTTTTTTCCACCTCTCAAGCAGATGTCTGGCCAGCCTGCCATGCTGGTGCAGCAGATGTGTGACGAGGTGGCTGCAGCCAGGGGAGACCTCACTTAGGCTTCCTTATCCCTCTAGATCTCGCTGGATCTTCCTCTGTAAATTCTTACCTCCTGGATAGCAGGGGAAAAAATTCCTAAATATTAGTCTGATAAATGAAGTCGTATGCAATAATCTAAATGGTCCCTCCTGTCTTCTTATGTAAATAGTCTCTCAGAGTTCTTCCTTCCTGCCCAGTTCTTTTTAAGACGCATCGTTGGGAGAGGTTATGTCTTACTCTCGTGGTGACTAGTGAGGCTGGTGCTCAGGATCACAGGGAGGCCTCAAGGTCCTGCGTGGGCCCCGCTACAGAGGGCCTGCTCTGGACCCTCCCTTGAAAGCAGATGCTGGGCGTGCTGGTCCCATTCCTGAGTGCTTGGCTGACATCTACTGATGATACCTGCAGCATGTGCAGTTCAAGGTCTGGGTGCTCCAGGCTCCTTCAGATCTCTGCACCCTGATCTTCACTTGGGCTTTGCTGATGCTCCCTCTGGGTCTCCAACATGTCCTCCTGCCAGCCCCTGATTTAGCCAGGGTCTACGTGCCCCTCTTCATCCTGGAGCTTAGAGCAGATGATTTGTGTGTTCTGTGTCGCATCCCCTCAGGCCACGCCTCATCCCAGCATAGCAGTGGCGGACAGCTCCAGGAACAGGGCCTCATTCCACCTTAAGGAACAATGGGCTCCTTTCTTTCTTCTTCTCTTTCCTTCCTTCCTTCCTTCCTTCCTTCCTTCCTTCCTTCCTTCCTTCCTTCCTTCCTTCCTTCCTTCCTTCCTTCTCTCCCTCCCTCCCTCCCTCCCTGCCTCCCTCCCTCCTTCCTTCCTCCCTTTGCTCCTGTCTTTCTAGGTTCCTGTCTTTCTCCCCTCTCCTCCCTTCCCCTCCCTTCCCCTCCCCTCCCTTCCCTTCTTTTTTTTTCAGATGGAGGCTTTTTCTGTTACCCAGGCTGGAGTGCAGTGGCTGCCACAGCAACCTCCACCTCCCAGGTTCAAGCAGTTCTCCTGCCTCAGACCTCTCAAGTAATTGGAATTACAGGCACACCACCATGCCCGGCTAATTTTCGTAGTTTTAGTAGAGATAGGGTTTCTCCATGTTGGCCAGGCTGGTCTCTGACGCCTGATCTCTGGTGATCCACCTGCCTCCACCTTCCAAAGTGCTGGGATTACAGGTGTGAGCCACCCCCGCCCGGTCTGTAATCTTTGATTCTATCCCCAGAACTCCACTTAACTCACCAACATACCCCTGCTCTAAGGTCAAAGGTCACAAATCAGGGAGCTGCAGCATCCTGGACTTTCCCAGAATCCACTGGGAACTGAGGAGAGGGCTTTGGGCTTCCCAGTTCTCTGTACGGCCTCCTTCTCCCAAGCCACACAGAACTCTGATCTAGTAGCAAGGTCTGCCTCTCCAGATGTCACAGGGGGAGACAAAGAAATGTAGACGCTCCTTTACTCTCTCTGGCCATGTTTGTCATTCCCACCACTGTTTTGCTAAGTAAAAAAAAAACTTAGCTGTGAGACTCCAAGCTCATCAGTGGCCTCCTTGTCCTGTAAACCTGTGCTGTCCCAATCCAGTAGCCACTGGTCACATGTGGCTATTGAACACTTGCAATATGGCAAATGCCCCTGAGGAACTGAATTTTAAGTTTATTTATTCATCATTAATTAAAATGAAAATGTATACAACGATCCTCCGTTCAGTTATTGGTAACATTTAAGTATGTTTGGAACCAGCTGGGTGTGTGAATCTACTTTTTCAACTGCAAGTGTTACAAAATCTGAATTCAGATCAATATTTTTGATGAAAATTTAATGTCCAGATTGAGATGTCCTGAAGCAAAAAAAACACACTGGATTTCAGCCTTAGTATGAAAACAGAATGTCAAATATCTCACAGATAGTTTCTGTATATTAATTACATGTTGAAATGATGGTATTTGTAATATATCAAGTTAAATAAAATATATCATGAAAATTAATCTCACCTGTTTCTTTTTACCATTTTTAGTGTGGCTGCTAGAAAGTTTAAAATTGCACCTGTGGCTTGAGTTATATTTCTTTTTTTTTTTTCTTTGAGACCAAGTCTCACTCTGTCGCCCAGGCTGGAGTGCCGTGGCGTGATCTCGGCTCATTGCAACCTCTGCCTCCCAGGTTCAAGCGATTCTCCTGCCTCAGCCTCCTGAGTAGTTAGGATTACAGGTACACGCTATCACACCCAGCTAATTTTTGTTTTCAGTGGAGACAGGGTTTTACCATGTTGTTCAGGCTGGTCTCAAACTCCTGGCCTTGTGATCTGCCCGCCTTGGCCTCCCAAAGTGCTGGGATTACAGGCATGAGCCACTGCACCTGGTGAGTTGCATTTCTTTTGTATTTTTAGTAGAGATGGGGTTTCACCATGTTGGCCAAACTGGTCTCAAACTCCTGGCCTCAGGTGGTCTGCCTGCCTTGGCCTCCCAAAGTGTTAGGATTACAGGCGTGAGCTACCGTGCCCAGCCATGAGTTGAATTTCTATTGGAGAATTTTAGACAATTCTAGACAATACTTACCTGATGCTTCCTGGGCCATGAGCCTCCTGGTCTGGCCTCTGGTGGTAGAAGAATATAAGAAAACATGATTTAAGGGTAGACTTTAATTACTAGTTTAATATATGCAAAATATTCCTGTTCTGATGTGTTGCCCTATTCTGCCTTGAAGGATGAAGGGCTATTCCTTTCTCTCCTGTGGCTTTGGTATGGGGAAATCGATGAATGGAAAATTATTTTCTGGTATCTTGCATAAATGAATCCATCAATCAATGAATCAATTTATTCACCAAGATGGAGAATCTAAGTAGAGAGAAATGAGTTCAGGGCTTGGCAAGATGGCTTATGCTTGTAATTCCAGCACTTTGGAAGGCCGATGGGGAGGATTGCTTGAGGCCAGGAGTTTGAGACTAGCCTGGGCAACATAGTGAGACCCCATCTCAAAAAAAAAAACAAAAAAAAAAACCAAAAATTAGCCTGGCATGGTGGCACATGCCTGTAGTCCCAGCTAATCGGGAGGCTAAGGCAGGAGGATCTCCTGAGCCCAGGAGATTGAGGCTGCAGTGAGCTATGATCACGCCACTGCACTCCAGCCTGGGTGACAGAGTGAGACCCCCATCTCAAAATTAGAAAGCAAAACAAAAACAAAAGGAATGGGTTTGGTTTTAAACAGAGCCTAGGTTCAGGATTTCTGGCAGCCCAGTTTGGACAACCTGAGTTTATCAGTAGCTATACAGTCACAGAACAGTGAGCCGCTTTTTTGGGAGATTAGATGAGAGATTAAGGGATTCTAGCAGCATCTGGCTGCTTTCCTGAGCAGCAGAGCTCCAAGCCCCAGTGATAGAAGCCATGGCCACCCTTCATTATGTGTCGGGGGGTGCAGGGAGGGCCAGTCTGTGATGAAAGACAAGAAGGAACCCCTCAGAGAAGACTTTCTGGGTTACTGGAAGCCCTTTAGGCTCTAGATTTGCCTCTTACTGAGCTCTCCAAGAAGTTCTGACACTGAGATTAGATTACCTACAAATCACTGCATCCATAAGTACGTTTCCCTAAGGTTATTTCTATTACCCGCCAAGGAAAGAAGCTTAACTAACAGAGTAGTGGTTCCAGATGGAGAAACTTCATGGGAAAGCTGTAACTTATTTAATTTATAGTGTTTATAGATCAAGAAGAAAGAGCCAGAAGATATATACATTTTTCTCAAACATTTTTTCTATAAATAAAGCTTATCAGTGGCCTCCTTTTTCAGGGTAGCTGACACAGTTCTCAGCACCACCCTACAGCTGCATTTTGGGTTCAACAGAGTTTTGTGGCCAGCGTGGAAGCAGATCACCATTTATAACATTGTTTCTAAGGGAGACACATTCCAAGATCCAAACAATGAATTTAGTAAAGAATGCTTGGCTTCCAAGCTGGATGAGCTGGCCTGGCTGTATCTTGGGGGTTGGCCTGAGGCTCCTTTCCCCTTTGGCCGGCTAACTCTGCAGGGTTGGGGGTAGGCACGTGGAGGGAGAGCTCTGAGCAGATAGGGAACCCTTAGCCGGGCTGTTCGAGGGCCTCCTGTGTGCTGAGGGCGCCAGGAGGTCCAGGGATGGAAAAGGGGGAGGTGAGAAATGGACAAAGAAGCTTGGCCTCCTTGGCATTCCTGTCACGTCTGGCTGGCCCACTAAGTCGAAGGGGCCTGTTTAGCCCCTGCCCGGCTGAAACCCTTTTGGGAATAAGCTGGGTGTTAGAAAAAAAAAAAATCCCACAGCCTCTGCCTGAGGAATCCCGGCCGCAGGAGGTGGGCTTGGTGGGGCAGCGTGACTGTTCCCTGGGAGTGGCTGTCACAGCGCCGGGTGAACCAAGGAGCTTGGGGCAAGTCTCCATCCCGCTCGGAGAGGGCAGCAGCAAGGAGGTGAGGGGAGCCAGCTCATCCTCCCCAACCCTGCACTCCCACCCCCTCCCCACCTTCAGCCTGGAAGAATCGCTGGCTGCTGGAGCCTAGACGAGCTGGCGGGGAAGGGGACGCAGCCACAGCATTGTCTGGGAGGGAGGGGAGACGCTCCGCCCCTAGAGGGGAGGGGAGAAGAGGAGGGGGCGGGAGACAAGGGGAGCAAGAAAGGCGAAGGCCAGGCGGAGGGGTGGGGAGTGATAAGAAGAGCGAGAGAAAGGAAGGGACAGCGGACTAGCAGACCCGGTAGGGGCTGAAAAAGGCCAAGGCGCGGGAGGGAGGGAGAGGAGGGAATCGGGCAGCGAGGAGGGCGGGGCGCCCGGTCCCCAATCGCGCTGCCACCGCCTGCCCAGCCTGGCTGGATTTGAGTCCAGCCCACCGATCGCTGGCCGAGGCGCAGCTGGAGCAGCCCCCCCAGCCGCGGCGCCCCCCACTTTCCAACTCCACGGTTCCGGCGGCGCGCGCGACGCAGCTGGCCGGGGGTGCAGGCAAGGAGCGGGGAGCCGGGCGCGGGCGCCGGCGCGGGCGCGGGGCGCTGAGAGCCAGGCACTGGCGCGGCATGCCTGGCTCAAGGTGCAGGGCGCGGGCCGTTCTCTTTTCACCCTCCCGAAAGTTTTCCCACGATGGCCCCTACCCCTGCCGGGTCAGCGCCTTAGTCCTCGCCTACATCTTGTTGCCTCTTTCCTCCCCCAGCCGCCGGGCTCCCGGGGCGCGCGGACTTCCCCGCCCAGGGCCAGGTAGGCGCGGAGCCCCAGCCGGCCTACTGTCCGTCCTAAGAAAGTTGTGGCTTGGAGCTAGTCCTCCTTCTCGGACCCCTGGGGGCGTCCTTCCTTCTTTTCGCGCACGCGATGGGAAGGCGCTCCCACCCCATCCTCGGGGCCTCTGAGACTTCCTGGTGAGGTGGGGCGGCGTGGCAGGTGCAGGGCTGGGGAGGGCCTGACAGCCCCGGAGAATGCCGAACCCCAATCCGCTGCCGTCTTCTAGGCGGATTCCCCAGAGGCGGGTCCCAGTCCCCGGCGCCGGGAGGCGGCGCGCTTCGGAAGGACGCAAGGTGCTTGGGGGCCCTTGGCCCTCCGGGCACTTCCCCTTTGCGGTCTCCCCGCCCTCCTTAGGAGCTAGTGCCGCAGGTCGCCGGGACCTCCGCCTGGCGTCCTCTCTCGCCCGAAGAGCGAGGCAGGTGCTGTGGGCGGCTCCGGCTACTTCTGCATTTCGCGCGCTTACTTTGCATTCAGCTCTAACTCAGAGAACTCTGGGGACAGCAGAGAGTGCCGGTGGCCTCACGGGGAGACCGAGGGTTCTGTTTCACCTCTGTGGCGCTGCGTGGGTCCTGGGCTGTCCACAGCGCCTCTGTGCCTCAGTGACAGGAGAAGCCGAGTGCGAGGCCTCTCAACGCTGCATGCACTCTATTTCCCAGGTGTCTGGAATCCCGCGCCTAGAAAGTGTTTTTCGGAAGAGCAGAGGCGGTGTCTACGCTGGCTGGGGTTACAGTAAGTGCCTTGTAAGTGATGAATGAATGTGTGAACCAATCAGCTGACAAACAGCAATTTGTCCTGGAGGGGGACCCGGTTACTGCCACAGCTGATTTTAGTACAATGGGAGGAAAGAATTAGAAACAATCATTCTTTTAAACAGCCGGGAAGACAGAGCCAGGGGCCTTCTTTCTGGAACATCTGGATGAGGAATCTGTAGCTAGGCTTATTTTACTAACAAATCCACATTTATTTACTAGGCAGTTTTTCTGCAGGTGGTCTGAACAATTAAAGAAACCTGGCATGGAGAAGATATATTGGGTTGTTTGAGGAGAGTTAATTTTTTAAAAACCAAAACACTTGCATTCAAATGTAATGTCCCAGGGACACAGTGTGGCATCTACTTGGATGGTGGCCATTTGGGATCAGAGACCCTGAGGCATTGGGGGTGGGCAGTAGCTGTGTTTTCTCCTCTGGACAGGTGAGCCTAATGCCTCGGGGCTGTGGAAGTCCAGCAGGCCTCACAGGGGTAGAAGAGGGCCTTAAATGGTGGCTAAGCTTGGAGAGGGTGGTAGTTTTGAAAAGAGCAGGAGTTCTTGCCTTGGAAGATGGAGGCATAGCATGCAGCCTGCCTGGGTACCTGGAGCGTGGACTGGTACAGCTTGGGATTCCCTGTGTTGGGGAAGCTGCAAGGTGAATCCCGCTTCTCCTTCAGCAGATGGAAGAGCAGAGGTGGAATATCTGGGAGACACATGATAAGCCTTGGGGTACAGCCTAGACATATCCCAAGTACTCCACTCCCCTTGTTTCTGTGCTGCTGAAATTGAGTTAGAATGATCATGGCCCCTTTGAAGAGGCTGGCTGAGAGGAGACCAGGGATCTGAGGTCCCTTTTCATGCCTTCTTCTAGGGGAAGGGGAACAGGCCAGTGCCTTCTGCATCTGGCCAAGTGGGCCTGCGCCTGCACCTGCTGTATCTCCAGCCAGCATCATCCCCACTTTCCTGAGCGTGGCCCACTCTATCCCTGGCACTCCACAGCCCATCTCTCTGTGTCTCCACATGACTTCTGTTTGGAGGGTCAGGTCTTCTCATCAGCTTGTGCCATCTTAGGGGTCAGTTGGTGTGGCGGACAACCCCAGTTGTTTTCAGTCCTTTGGATGCTCTGGCCCACCTGAGACATCCCAGTTACTCACTGAGTTTGCTTTTACTTCTGGGTCTACTTCCTAGTGTCCCAGAGCCAGGCTCCATGTCTGCATTCCACGTGTGAGCTGCTTAGGAATGGCTGAGCGAGTCAGCTGGAGAGGTGCCCAGGGCGTGCATCTGCTGCCTCAGAGGCCTGGACGGCGCTGCTTGCCAGAAAGGGGACCTGTCATCAAAACACAAAAGAACCTGGGCCTGATTATTGCTTTCAGCTGTCTTTAGGACATTTTGGCAGGAAGTGTCCTTACTAAGTGGGAGGTGGGGGCAGAGAGGCAGGGTCAAGTTGCCAGAGAGTCCCACGGAGAGGCTGGGAGATGGACTGGGTGACCTCCAAGAGCAGTCCTGGGGCTCATCTCCTCCTCCCCGCCAGAGTGAGACACAGGGCAGGTCTCAGTAGTGTGCTTGGAATAGAACAAGATGTTCAGCCTCTATATTCAATCGGTAGTGGCTGAGAGCTGCCCCAGCTGGATTTGCAAAGCGAGAGTAGCAGTCCCTGCTGCCACCTCCCTAACATTCTTCACAATATGGTCCAGTTTTTATTCCAATGACGCACTGTCCTATTTCAACACCTCCCTGACTCCAAGAAGAATTTTTATTTTTTATTTGTATTTATTATTATTTTTTGACATAGAGTCTCTCTCTGTCACCCAGGCTGGAGTGCAGTGGTGCAATCATGGCTCACTGCAGCCTCGACCTCCCAGGCCCAAGCCATCCTCCCCCCTCAGCGTCTTGAGTAGCTGGGACCACAGGCGTATGCCACCATACTCAGCTAATTTATTATTTTTTAAATAGAGATCAAGTCTCGCTATGTTGCCCAGGCTGGTCTCAAACACCTCAGCCACCCAAAGTGCTAGGATTACAGGTGTGAGCCACTGTGCCTGGCCCAGAAGAATTTTTAAAGGTCTTCAAGTTGGAGTGAGCTCCCCCAGGTCTCACTGCTGGTTTCATTGAATTGGTCTGCTTGTGCGTTCCTGTGGACCATGTGGCCATGTGAAGTGGGGATCGGTGAATGTGGCAGGAGGCACCAGGGAAGGAGAGTGGCACTTCGTCTGACTCAGGCTGGGCAGCCAGAGGGTCACTTTTGATCATTTCTGGGATGGAAGACTCTAAAGCCTGTCATCACAGGTTGATGCAGCTGTTTGTGGTGACAACTTGGGGCTGGGGAACTGCTGCCAAGGCAGCTGTGGCGGAACCAGAGAGGGTCCTCTCATCCATTCCTGTGGAGCGGGCACAGTGACTTCCAAGAGCTTTTCCTGTTCCTTCAGTTGGTGAAAGCTGGCAGAGAGATACTTGTGCTTTCTTTGAACATGTCAACCTAAAGTGATTTGGGAAAGTGATTTAGATTTCCTTGATCAGCGTGGTGCTTCAACTGTAGTTGGCATTCAGCGAAGTGTGATTAACTACTCATTTTTATACATGTCATAAAAAGAGTATTGGATTTGGAGTTTGAATTGCATCTTACCATTTCCTAGCTGTGGGGTACAGGGCAACGTAACAGATACTGTCAGCCTCCTGCCCATGTTCCACTGCTCAACCAATGACTGATGGGAGAAAGTGTGCAAATACTCCAGCTTCCTCTAAAGGAAGCCTCTCTGTTGGGATAAGTTTAAGGCACGTTCTGTGCTGTCTCTTAAGAGTTCCCTTGCAGGACTGAATCCCGATGGCTCATAGTGTTAACTTTCCCCCTTCCTCTTCACACTCCCCCCACCCTGCTTTGTACTTGAACTTGAATTCTTTTTTTTTTTTTTTGAGTTGGAGTTTCACTCTTGTTACCCAGGCTGGAGTGCAATGGCGCAATCTCGGCTCACCGCAACCTCCGCCTCCTGGGTTCAGGCAATTCTCCTGCCTCAACCTCCTGAGTAGCTGGGATTACAGGCATGCGCCACCATGCCCAGCTAATGTTTTGTATTTTTAGTAGAGACGGGGTTTCACCATGTTGACCAGGATGGTCTCGATCTCTTGACCTCGTGATCCACCCGCCTCGGCCTCCCAAAGTGCTGGGATTACAGGCGTGAGCCACCGCGCCCGGCAGGAACTTGAATTCTTATCTCAGGATCTACTTTTGGGGGAAACCAACCTATGACAGGCTTAAACCTGCAGTGAAAAGTCATTAAAAGTCTCAGTTTCTCCAACTGTAAGATGAAATGATAACTATTATAACTATATATATTATAATAAAATATAACCATAAGATGAAATTATAGTAACTATCTCACAGCAATATTGTGAGGGTCAAATGAGCTATCATATGTGCTCAGGCCTGGCACACAGCAAGCATATAGAAAACCATTTGCTGGCTAGAAGCAGGCTAGGACGGATTGAGACTGTGTATTCTGGTGGAATGTCGAGGGTCACCGTGCTTTGGAGAGAGAGGCTGCTCTTAGGTTAGGTGAGGGAACTAAGGTCACCTGCTTTACATTGCTGGGTTGTGACCAGTGATGTGCTGGTAAATGCTTAGCACTTGGCTCCTGGAAGGGGGTTTGTGATGTTTTCCATTTTATGCGATATAAATAAAAATAAATATTCCCACTATATCCGACTTCACTCTGCCAACATGGTGTCAGTGAACACTGTTGGGAAGAGTGGTGCATCATTGGCCCTTGAGAGCCAGTGGGAGCTGCCCCAGCACACATCTGACCATGACTGAGTCAGCATGTGACCCTAGTGACTTCAATTTCCAATTCTGTACATGGCTGGGGGAAGATAAGACTTGTACTAGGTGTCCAAGACATGGGATATGTTAAAGTGCTCCCCTGAACCGGTTGAATCATCGCATGTGAGACACTTCTGGGGTGCATTTAATGGTTATTATTATGATTGTTTTTTTGAGGTAGAGTCTCACTCTGTTTCCCAGGCTGGAGTGCAATGGTGCGATCTTGGCTCACTACAACCTCCACCTCCCAAGTTGAAGCGATTCTCCTGCCTCAGCCTCCCAGGTAGCTGGGATTGTAGGCATGCTAATTTTCTGTATATTTAGTAGAGATGGGGTTTCACCATGTTGGCCAGGCTGGTCTTGAACTCCTGACCTCAAGTGATCCACCCACCTCAGCCTCCCAAAATGCTGAGATTACAGGCATGAGCCACGGCACCTGGCTAATGATTATTGAAATGTTTATGCTTTGAGTCTTTCTGGTTTCCCCATCTCCAAGGCAAGGGATTAAATGATTCCACATGTCCCTTCTCACCCTTGGTCTCTTTCAGAAGAGTCATTGCCTTGTCCCTCTGTCTATACAAGAACAAAACTTATAACGTCAAAAGCCTTTCATGCAGACTACACTTGTGGTGCCCACCATGGGACACCCAGCACGGGGCCATCCTAGAGCCTTTCCTGCTGAGAATTCAGTGGACATTAACCCAGTATAATTCTGCCTATCTTGTATATCAGTTTCAGGGTTCAGGCATCGTGTGTCGGCAGACGATGCCTGGGGAGGTGGGGAGGGAGGGACTGGTTTCTTTTTCTTTTTTCTTTTTTTTTTTGAGACAGAGTCTCTGTCTATCACCCAGGCTGGTGTGCAATGGCATGATCTTGGCTCACTGCAACCTCTGACTCCTGGGTTCAAGTGATTCTCCTGCCTAAGCCTCCCGAGTAGCTGGGATTACAGGCGCGCACCACCACACACAGCTAATTTTTGTATTTTAAGTAGAGATGGGGTTTCCTCATGTTGGCCAGGGTGATCTCAATCTCTTGACCTTGTTATCCACCCACCTCGGCCTCCCAAAGTGCTGGGATTACAGGCGTGAGCTACCGTGCCTTGCCAGGACTGGTTTCTTATGGAAGGGACCATCCTTCCTTTCTGAATCACTGTTCAATGGTATAGATACCCAAGTGGAGTCTGCTCATGGTTTGCATGCCTAAGTTGTGACCAGTGATGTGCTGGTAAATGTTGAACACTGGCTCTTGGACAGGGATTTGGAGGAAAGTCCGTGTGGAGAAAGAGACCTTTATATGACAGAATTCAACATTTTGGTGTAATTTGACTCTTAATGCTCTGTTGACAACCCTCCCAAATAAGTCCCTGACTCAGCAGCTCCACCCATAGGAATTCTTCCCCTAGGGATGTAATTGGATAAATGCAGAAAAATATGTGTGTGGGGATGTCCCTTGCGGCATTATTTATAATAACAACACTCCATAGTGACAAATGGAGACCAAATGGCCAACTAGTTATAACTAATTTATAACTAGTCATAAATTAGTTAACCATGGTATATCTCTACTTTGAAATACCATGTGGCTACAAAAATATAGGAGGTAGATGTGTAGCTATTAACATGGAATATGATTTTTTTTTTTTTTGAGATGGAGTTTCACTCTTGTTTCCCGGGCTGGAGTGCAATGGTGTGATCTCAGCTCACTGCAACCTTTGCCTCCCAGGTTCAAGCAATTCTCCTGCCTCAGCCTCCTAAGTATCTGAGGTTACAGGCATGCGCCACGATGCCCGGCTAATTTTTTGTATTTTTAGTAGAGATGGGGTTTCACCATGTTGGCCAGGC